GCAGGAATGTCCAAGAGACACCTGTGGCAACAGCAAAACTGTGAAGCAGCACATGTGACAAATCTTATGTTCAGGAATTTCCTCTGTATTGCATCACCAGATGTCAGAGTGGCCTGTTCTCAGAAAGAGGAAAATACTTTTTTTTCACTCTTGAATATCAGCCAGATGCTACTGGGTGAAGCAGTACAGATTTAACAGGAGCTTCAGGGTGCAGCGGAGGGGAAAGACTGCACTATATGAAGGAGCGACACGGAATCACAGAATCCTAGAACGGTTTGGGTTGGAAGGGACCTTATAGACCACCCAGTTCCAGCCCTCCCGCCATGGGCAGGGACCCCTTCCACCAGCCCAGGATGCTCAGAGCCCCGTCCAGCCTGGCCTTGAGCCCTGCCAGGAAAGGGGCAGCCACAGCTTCTCTGGGCAGCCTGGGCCAGGGCCTCACCATCCTCAGAGCGAAGAATTTCTCTCTTCTGTCTAATCTAAACCTACCCTCTGTCAGTTTGAAACCATCACCCCTTGTCCTACCAGAGGAGGTTTAGTATGGAATCCTAAATTTTATGCTACAGTGAGTTTTGGTACAAGAAGACACAGTAGGTTCAGATTTGGCCAAGCAGACGAAGGAACCAGGATTTCTTGACATCTTCCTCAGCATCTCAGGAGGCAGTGATGAATTCTATTTGTTTTGCTGAAGGTTTCATACTGCAAGCGGCTCACTCCTTTGAAGTGCTGTTGAGTGATTTGGGAATTACTAGCAATTGCAATGTGATAAAATTTGTGAAAAGTGAAGAGAAGAAAATACAAAGAGCTGTTTAACACTGTGACAAAATAGAGACTTTTACTTCTACAAAGCTTTTCTGTTGTAAATGGGATATAACTAGAGAGGGTGAATCCGTAATCTCCACCTTACTCTCACGGTTTAGAAAAAATACTCTGACTTTTGCTTTAGCAAATATCAACCTTGTTTGGAGAGGGGAGATGCTGAAGAACCTTGCCTGTATCCTGCACAAAGTTCTAAGAACATGGAAGATGCTGAAGAACTCCTGAATTGTGTGATACGCAAGCGATGATCTCTTCTTTTTATGGCTAGACAAAGTTATATTCACCCATAATAAACCTAAAGGTAAATGAGAAACTTAAAACTTTTCAAAATTATCTACAGCAGAAATTTCTGGGTCATGAGGAATCAGATTTTAAGGGTAACATTTAGGCTAGAGAAGTTGTTTCCACTTCATTCGTAATTTCCCTTTCCACATAAAGGTATAATTTTGTTGGGGTTCCCTTGGGATAGTGCTATCTATAAACCTTCCAGGAAAAACTGGTAAGCCTGCTCAGGAAAGAAATCATCAGGGTTGCGAAAATGTGAGATCCACATTTGGTTTTGTGTGTGCATTTCCTCCAGCACTAGAAGACATGACCATGTCATTGTGTGTGCATTTCCCAGCAAGCGCTGCCACTAACTTTGACCTGTGGTTTTGTATTACGATTTAAACGTTGCTCAAAAATACACAGCCTTTCCTGAAACACAAATAAGCCAATGCCTAACTATGACAAATGTTCTTTACTTGGGTGTTTGCAATATATAACAGCATATATATTGAAAAATGTGGATTGCTTACCTCAAAAATATAATCTTTCCCATCCTTTCCGTGTACAGCTTTAACAGCACAGATGTCCAAACCACCAAATATTTCAGAACAGGTGTCAACCCAAAGCTTGTACCTGTTTCATAAAAATAATTTTTCTCCGTGAGTATCTCATCAGGCTCTTGTTTTTCTATAGGCTTAACCTAAGAATGTAGTTTATGTAACGTTGGCTCTAAATTCAGAATTATCACTGTATTGTCGGTTTTACTGAATTTGTATTTCCCAGAATAGCAGCTTACAGATACCGGCCTGATTACCCTACTTTTTTCAGTAGAATCCAGAAAAGCTGTGGCTCTGTATGCTGACCTAGCATTATGCTGAATCCTCTCCCAGTTTATACTGGTCCAAACACGTGTCTGCTCTAAACCGCGAGTAACCTGAAGACAAGCTATGCTGGAACACACACAGCATTTAGGGGTATCCCATCTGCATTTCCAATGCCCTCACGCTCGTACAGCTTGCTAGTGGTGGCTGTACTTCACGTGAGAACTCCACAGAAGGGGGAATTTATCACCTGAGCAGCTTTTGTGGCTTTGGTGGTGCCAAGGGGTTTTAGAAAGTAGGGAACAGGGCTTCTGTTTTCCTGTGAAATTCAAACAGATTCAAGTGTGACAATCCTCTTGCTTACTATGCTTGGAAGCGTACTTAATTATGGGTGGGTTTTATTCTTCTATCAGGAAAACTCGAATGACAATCTCTGTCTTAAATTACAGACCCAACTGTATTCCAAAGCAGCAAAGATAGCTTTATGTGTACATCACTGCACAAGGCAAAAGGAAAATCAAGACGAACCAACCCCTGAGATGATGCGAGAGGAACAGACAGATGATGTGACACAGAAGTGACGCAGCATGCCCCAAGGACAGCACTCTTCATGCAGGGTTATAGACAGCTACAGTAAACTTCAACAGGAATGTAAAGAATTCTGAGGATTTCTGCATCTCCTAAAAGAGCTAGCGTTTCACACAGTATTGAACATAAGCACTCCTCCATTTCATTTCCAACCTCGTGGTAAGAATTACGGGCTGAGGAACGGACGGTTTACCCCTGCTACGTGCGGTAACGAGATCTGCTTTTCTCGCATGAAGAGCTTCATCCATTCTTTGAGTAGAGAGATGATTTGACCAACACTGGAATGGACTTACTACAAAATGGGTGGGGCGATTCCCATCATCGGGTGCAGAACTGCTGGCGACCTAACAGGGTGCCACAACGCTCTGCAGAGCGCGCTCCGAGGCGCTGTCAGCAGCGTGTGCCTGCTCAATGGCACGGACTCACTCCTGGACACAAAGCGGCACGGAGAACTTCCACTGCCTAACAGCACCGCTGTGCATGGGCATGCCAGGTGATGACAGGAGCTCCAGAGCCTGGACAGCCAGATACGGCCGTTCCACCAACTGAAGGACATGTTTTGCTTAAAGAAAAAAAACACCAGCTTTAAAGCAGCCATCTACCAGAAACTTTTCTCTCTTTCATTGGCTAGCATGTGAGTATTTCCTTTGACAGACCCTCTCCTGCTCCAGCCTTTGAGCCATGATGATAGATTTGCCACATCATAGTATTTTCCATTGCAAAAAAAAATTGATGTAATAAACATAGCATTTGACTTCGCTCTAGGATCAAAGGAAACTCTTTGCTGGGCTGAGAGTCTTCTTCCCGTACAAATATCTTCAGTAGTAGCGTCCCTTCCAAGTAAACTTCTCAGGTCACATTCTTTATATTTTCTTGTATTGTGTCTGTTCAAGTGGAAAAGTTTTTCTTTTAAGTTGAATACAAAGAAATTGATACAACTATTTGAAAAAATCCTGGTGGTAATGTTTTAGCAATGAAAATCTTTTTTTTCTCCTGTGAGAAACATGCTTTTTGTCCAAAATGAGACTTTTTTTTGGATGCCTGACAATTTCAACATCTGTAGATGCACTGACTGGCTGGGTGCCTGCATACACTTGCTTACAAATAACCGGGCTTTTTGCTGTAAAATACCGATGTGTATCTTAGGCAGTCATGAGGACAGCAACTCTTATCTTTAACAGTAACGATAGGGACTTTCTATGAAAAAAAAAAGAAGACATTTTCTTTAAAATACCAAAACATCAATCAGATCTATGAAAGCTTTTTTTGCAGATGATCTTCTGCCAGCCAACACGGAGCTGGAAAAACACAGCCACATTTGGAAAGAGAGGTCTTGGATGGGCCAGCCCGTGGTGTTTGAGACCCCAGGCTTGCGCAGTGGGTTTGACAAAAGGTCATGGTTCTTCTTTTCCCGGAGCCAACACAGTGCGCAGCAGCCGCGGAACTGATGGATAACAAAGGGTTGCTCCTCAGGGGTCCGACATGAAACCTCTGGTGTGCCAGACGAGGGGTGCGCAGTTAGCAGGGGTCTCTCTCTCCTGGTCCTGCCCGGGGAGCAGCGTGTCTCGGAAACCGAGGGGTCGATAAGGACCCGTAACACTGAGACGGGCTTGTTCTCTGCCTCCTCGCTGTCTCTTCCTCCACCATCTTCGTCCTTCTTCTCTGAATTCCTTCACTAAGATTTGTATTCAGCCAACAATGGCAATTCAGGCACTGCTTTCAAAACATTTCTTCCCAATTCATGAGATGTATTATAAACGCAGTGCAGACGCACCAGTCTGCTTTCGCCACGCTGTTAAACTACTGCAACTCTTCAGAAAACCTCAGTTCCCCCTTCTCTTCCCTGCTCTGCTTGGTGCACTGCAGGGTGTAACCAAACAAAAAGCGGGACTATATGAGACATAACCCTTTCTGTTATGAGAAAACATCCATCTCTTCCATGCTTTTCTCTTCAACAGCATAAAAAAAGTTTTGTTTTGTTGGCGAGTGTTTTTTAAATGGGAAAACACCTATCATGCTCAGTTCTCTGACATTCAAAAATGGAAGCAGGAGCAGAGCACACAGCGCATTTACAGTGAGGCAGCCAGGCAGGGCTAGCACTTCATTCTCATTACCCACATGATATTTAGTTTTCCTTACGGCAAAACTGAAGTGCCCTTTTTTCACAGAGGAATAGCTCATGGACTGTAATTACGCATGCTAAAGCACACGCTTTCTTTTCACTCTCAGCGAAGACATAACCTCGCTTTCTAAAGGAAGGTGGGAGGAGAATGAGAAAGAGAAAATAACGTGGCTCCACTCCGTCCCAGCGGGGAGAGCAGTGAGGACACAGTCTAGACAGGGGCTGGACAGCAGGGAGCTGTCATTCCCGTCTTCTTTGTTTTCACCTTGCTCAGGGCAGGCAGCGGTTCATTTTCTGCTCATGAGAGGAACCAAGTTGTAGGTTCCAGACTTTTAAAAAAAAACCAAACAAAAACACCACCAGAAAAAGACTACTGTTGAACTTCAAAACACCTTTTAAATTACACTTCCATTGTACAGAGTTTTTTCACCTTCCACTGGTAGCAACCTTTGGAGGAGCTGAACAGAAGAAAATTCACAGCCATCAAGAAGTCTCACAGATTGTTTCGCAGGGAACAGAGGTCTGTATGTTGTGGAGGAGCTTGGTGCAAAGGAGCAGAACTGAGAGTAGGGTTCTGTCAACAGAAGACCTTAGCTTCAAAACGGTACCGCGAGGCGAATGCGTTGGACTGGACTGTTAGAAGCACGCAGCATAGGGATGGGAGACGAAAAGAAAAGCACAGCAAACCAAAGCACGGAGCTGGAATGATGACACGAGGGAAATGAGCTTCGTTACATCCCGGCATCGGGGTAAAAAGCCTCACAGTGCAGTCAGGGGGCATTTCAAAAATGAAAAATAAGCAGTTTAGCAGGACTGAAAACAGAATAAAGAAATATGATTTAAACGGGCAAAGTCAAGACTAGATTGCTTGGTTATAACAGATGATGTAGAAGGAGAAAAGTTTAAAGCACTGTGGCACTGGGTAAGACTGTTCGGTAAAAGAGGGCAAACGAACCAGAGGAAATGACTGACAGGTGGAATCTGAAAAATGGAATTTCTGAAGGGAATTCCAATCGCTTTCTAGGTGCAGACAGGGACGGAGGAACCCAAGGGTGCACGTAAGCACCTAAGGATGGTCCTTGGTTTGGGCCATTAACTCTGAGACCAGTCCTATGGAAATTCCTGGCTCATGTTCTTCCATCGAATTCAAAGGGCTTTTTCCCAATGAATGCGAGATATGTATTTACTGCGAACTGCGTATCAACAATGGGATTTTAAAAAAATTGATTTAAAATAAAATTCCATTATTATTTTTTTCAGTTACCTTTTACATGAGACTCGACTTACTTATCTGACATCGCAATCTGTTCCAACATTGCAGAACCTGTGTTTGTCTTCCAGTTGCCAGATATGGAAGTTCTCCTGAAAGGGGGAAAATATTACAAACAGACCCAGTGGTTTTGCATTTTCACTGTCTCTTAAATTACTCTGATTTTCACATGAATACTATAGCAGTATTTACACCTTTTTCACATCTGGTAGGTTACAGCAGAACATCTAAAACGCGAAGAATTCTAACAGGCATCGCGCTTGCCAGTAACACTCCTTTCACTGCAGGCATGTTATGAAGGATGACAATGCTGTGACATCTGTGTTCCCCATTTATTCATTTATGACCTTTCTTAAAAAGACCTATGATGATTAAATGAAGGTGTTAGCCATAAGCTGTTATCAGTCATAAATGGATGGAATAGCCTGTAAGACATGATTACTGCACATGTCAAGAAACTGAAGCTTCAGCTTCTCGCTTCAAGCCCATACCATTGCAGAGTTAGGTCCCAAGGCTTGAAAATCAAGATATCTCTCTTTTTAACATCTCCAGAGTGATCTCAGGTCTGTTTTATATATGGTTTATCCTCCAGTTTTCACCCTTTGCTAATTTACTAATACAATCTAAACAGTTTTTTAAGGCTTGAGTATACTATATTTTATTTAATCTCTAAGAAAAAAAAAATTCATACAAAGTTTTTTCTCCTCAGGCCTCAGGACCGCTACCAGGGCTGAGAAGATTACTGTTTTCTGAAACCTAAATGCTGTGCTGGGAACAGGCCAAGGATACAAATTATGAAGTGTTTCCAGTTAGTAAAATAGTAAGAACACCTGTAATGTATTAAAAGTGTATTAGGCAACAGCTACAGTTGTCTCTCCACTTTTCGATTAACCTAATTACAAGGGACAGTAGCAACTGTGATATTAGGCAACAGCTACAGTTGTCTCTCCATTTTTCGATTAACCTAATTACAAGGGTCAGTAGCAACTGTGGGGGAGTGCTGACTTTTCCATGGGAGCCTCATGAAGTCAGCTGAATTTTAGAGCATAAAGTTCTTGTAAGGTGCCATGTTCTTTGTTGACGTGGGAGAAACCAGTGAAAGGGGAAGGTGCATGCTGAGTGCTGTGTGGAAGGTAACTTTGCCTGGTAATCAGGCTATTTTGTCATTTCTGCTTCATTTTTCAATTGGTATTTATTTCTATCTGCGTACTTACAAATTAAAAATTTTAAGTTCGTGACTACTCTACACACAAACTCTGCATCAGAGAGGTAATACTTCTCCCAAATCACAGTTCAACTCTTGTAGACTCCTCCAAGGCATTCATTAGCATGTACTATTTAAGGTGTCTTTTAGGAAGCAAGATGTGACCAATTCAGAAAAAAAACCAAACCCTGTGCTGAAGACTTGTAGCAAGTACTTAGTTCAAGATCCTCAGCTGCACTGAAGTAATCTCAGCACTGCTGAGCAGAGGAGAAATGCTGGTTTGCTTTACGCCCTGCTCTCGCTCCACAGCATGACCGCTCCCCTGCCGAACCCGACGCAGCCTCACGACTGGGTGCCTGCCCGGCTCCAACACTGCTGCAGGGACCAGGTGAGGACCCAAAGGAACGCTGTGGGCACGGCCCGAACTGGTGCAATCCCAGCAGCTCGTGGGCTGGGGCCGCCGAAGCGAAGTCTGTGGCACAGACGTCGTCCAGAACAACAGGGGTTGCATCAGACCGTGGTTAGGGGATACAAAAGGACCTGACCAGACCATTTGGCACTTTAAAGCTCAGATACCTTTCTGTAATTCATATATGATGAAATACATAGGTTTCTCATCCTTCTTCACTTCTGTTCTGATAATCGCTAAGGGTCTTGCACATTGTTCTTTCCTCCTCTTTTACTAAATACTGAGTAATATAGAAAGCAACTCCTAACACTTTTGAGTGCTTTACACTTCGGCTTAATACGTTTCCACTTGATTTGGTCTTTGCAAAGAAGGAAGAACTGTTTGAAAATTGGGTAAAAAGGAATTCTGATTAGTATAAACAATTCATAGTAACTTGAGCTTCCCCTCTTCCAACACCTTTCTGCTTTGTTTAGTACCACTTAAAGCAGGCAGCCCAAACTGTCTGAACAGGGACCTGTCATGAGAAAAACACGTAGAAATGCCCCCCTCCAGTTCTTGTGTAGGCAGCCTGCTTAGTGGTTTAACGCCACAGCACTGTCTCTCTTTGGCCGATGTGCTCTTCTTTTACTGACCTTCCGATCAAAGTACATCAAGTTACGGATTCAGAGTATTGCTCTTGGAGAGGAGATTTAAATGCAGTGCTTTTGCGTTTCTGTTTTTCTTCATGGTGTGTGACCCTTTACACTCTATTTCCTTGAAGTCAGATGAATTCTGTAGCGGTACCCAGCCTAGTTAAGTATGTGTCACAAAGCGTTTTGAGGAGCTGTGGTATTTAGACAGATCCCACTGTTGCTTTTTGGCTATAATCTCTACTGACAGATGATAAGCACCAGTGTTTTGCGAGTCATGGATCCACTTCTACCACAATTTCCCACACAATTACAAAAACTGAAGCTCTTAATAACTCTCTTTAAACTAAATAAAACAAATGTTCAGCTGGTATTTTTTGTGGTGGCTCTCTAAGTACTCTGTTCCTGTGTCACAGAACAAAATGAGAACCAGCTGGAAAACAATATTCCACTGACATAATGCATATATATGCATACGAAGAATTTCTCAGACGTTTAGTAAATCTGCTCCTTTTCATGATGCTTTGCAACAATGTATTTCATTTTTTGTGTGATTTAACTGTATGAGAGAATCTAGAGAAAGAATGATTGCTAGGCTTTTAGCATTTGGATGAACCCATAGTTTCTGAGTAGAAACTTAAAAATAAATAAAAGGTAGGAGGAACAGGCTGTCATTTTAACTTATTTTTGCTGCCCCTTAGGCCAACTGTTTCTTCTGTGAAGTAGAAACATTTATGTTTGAAAATGATAAATTTACCATGGCTGACTCTTCCAAAACTATTCTAGACACTGAACAGCATTTAAATTTCAAGTCAGAGACAAGAAAGTAGGTCTCTCTCCAATGAAATCTATTGGTCCAATTTCTGCCATAGGGAACAAACCCTCAAGTTTGAGGGCCAGTCTTGTTCAACTTCTTCATCAATGACCTGGATGAAGGGACAGAGTGTACCCTCAGCAAGTTTGCTGATGACACCAAACTGGGAGGAGTGGTGGATACACCAGAAGGCTGTGCTGCCATTCAGTGAGACCTGGACAGACTGGAGAGCTGGGCAGAGAGGAACCTCATGAAGTTCAA